CCCCCCCCTGGCTCACCGTCAAGCCAGTCGACAGTCAGTTGCTAGCTGATCGCCGCGCCGCGTAGTCAGTGGCTGCGCTCGCCTCGCCCCGTCGCTCGTTCCGCAGCGTTCCGGCGCGCTGTTCCGGCGCACTGCAAGATGGAGATGGATGAGCAGGAGGACTTAATTTCGGAAGACGGAGACGAGTTCATGGACGCACGTGACGTTGGCGACGATGAAGAAGACAATCTTCTACGCAGTGACACGGAGAGAGAAGATGACGCTGTTGGCGATGAACTTGCTGAAGAGGGTGGTCCTCTCGTTGAACAGGCTGGCGATGCTGCAGAAGGCGGCGCCGGTATCGGTGCTGGAGAAGACAACGCCGTCGGTGGTGATGTGCAACTTGTTGGAAATGGTGACAACGGTGCTCTGAATGACGGTGTCAATGGCTTTGGTGGTCTTAACGGCAATGGTGATAATAACTTTGGTGGTTTCAATGACTATGGTGATTATGATTTTGACAATGGTGACAATGGTTTTGGTGGACTACACGAAAATGGTGATGAAAATGGTTATGATCAGCTCGATGACGCTCCGGATGACGAGGACTGGGGGGTGGAGATCGAAGAGATACCAGGGTCGCAACAGAACAGCAAACTCTATGTGGACCTAGTGAACTATTATGTGTATCGCAAGCGTAGTTCAACTAAGAACTATATTAGTCTGCAGTGCACCTACGGCCACTGTCCTGGCACCGCTTCTATGGATAAAGTCGAGGAAGGGCGGCGCCTGTATGGTTTACAAAACCATGACCATGACCCCAACCCTAACGTCGTGGAGGAGACAAAGTTTCGCCAGCGGCTCTACCACAGAGCAGCCACCGAGAGCAAACCTGTTGCTCGTATCTATGAAGAGGAGGCCAGGTTGTAAGTATACCTCAAAATAGTTGGTTGTACATGGCGGCACATTGGTGTATTAAAACAAGAGGGGGGGGGGGGCAGCGCACTCACTTCGCGCCTATGATGTCTCAAGTCGCGGATCAACCCCACTAGAGGATGATTGTCCGAATAAAAGTGCTCAAGGTTTTGGCTGTGAACGATAGAAAACACAATTAATTACCCTTCTTTTTTGATGCCCATGCTGTATCACTTGAAACATGGGAGAAATGGCAAAAACACGACTGGCGGGTACTCATCCGCCTAACAGCTGACCAGCTAGGCACCATCACCGCATGCGTGTACACATGTTGCCTAGTCAACAGGCGGATTGGCCCTCCATTTTCCGCCATGTTCCCCGTGTTTCAAGGGGAGCAGTCCGGCACGCTGGACACGGATGGAAAGGGCACGGGGCGCGCTCAAAGTTTGCGAAAAAGACCGCAAGCTTTTCGGAATTTTGGCCTCACAGTAAATCCTTACTCTTTGCCAAAAAAAGTTTGGTCGAAGTCGAAGACAATTTTTTCGGGGCCGCGTGCCGTCGGGCCAGAAACCTTCCTTTATCATATACAGCAGTGTTTTCGATCAGGCGGGTAGGCGCCTCAGGAGTGCTACCCGACCCGACCATCTTCAGTCTCTCCCTCCCACACGACTCAGATACGAGTGAGAGAGACAGAAGACGGTCGGGTAGCACTCCGGAGGCGCCTACCCGCCCGATCGAAAACACCGATTTACAGAGCAAACATTCTCAATCCGTCACTTTTACCTGTAAAGCCGTCCACCCTCCTGAAAGTGCCCGAGTGTTCATCGTCTTCATTTTGTTCGTAGGGTCAGCGATGAGGTGGTAGCAAGTATGCCGCGCTCTCGGCTGGAAACCTCGATGTGGCGAGCCAGATCAAAGGCCTTCCCTGAGAGGCCTACTTCGCTCCCCCACTTTGTGGATCTGCTCAACCAGCCACAGTTCGTGGCCAGGTTTGCCACAACCCAAAGTGGGGAGCCGTTCCAGATCGTCGCCTGCGACGGGGATGAGAGGGAAGGGCAGGCGGCTAT